TGCTATCCCATCGTAATAAAGCCAACCGTCACATAGCCAAAGATAAAATAGCTGAAGCCAACGTGCCGAGACAACAGTTGCTGGCCGCGCCAGGGACAAGCAGGGAATATTGAAGCGCACTCTAGCGCAGAAATGCCCGGAAGAGTTGTGTATAGCACAAAGGCCAGAGCTATCCTTTCCTAACCTAACCAAACGTATCATAGCATAGCGTAGCGTATCCCAACCTAACGTGCCGCGGTCGCAATTGCTGCCCTCCCCAGAGCCAAGAAGAATATATGATAGGAGACTAGTGCCGCAGAAGTAGAAAGAATCGCAGTGGATAGCGGAAAAGTCAAGGCTACTCGGTCCTAACCCAAACTAATGGAACCTAACAGAACGCAGCCTAGCATAAGATCTCGTACCGCTAGCGCCACTGCGGGCCCCCCATGGCCAAGCAGAATATAGTAGAGCACGTTAGAGCGCGGAACCCCACCGAAAAAGAGTGTACAGCACTAAGGACCAAGCTACCTTAACCGAACTTATCATAACCTGACCTAGCCAAACGTAACGCATCTCAACAGAACCTGCCACGACCACTGATTCTGGCTTGCCCAGTGCCAAGCAGAATACAGTAGAGCACAGTGGAAAGCGGAAATCCAACGAGTAAGAGCGTCCAGCAAGAAAGTCAAAGCGATCCTAACGGAAATGAGCCTAACATAACCTAACAAAACGTAACATAGCTCAACCTAACGTGCCACGACCACAATTGCTGTCCTCCCCAGAGACCAGCAGAAAGTATTAGAAAACAGTAGAGCGCAGAAATACGCCGAATAGCGCTATGTAGCGCAAAAGTCAAAGCTATACTCCATTAACCTATCCAAACGTAACACAGACAAACGTAACCTAATTCAACATAAAGTGGAGAGAACAATGCTGCTGGCCTCCCATGAGCCAAGCAGAACATGTTAGAGGAATGTAGAAAGCAGAAATCCGGCGAATAGCTCTTTATAGCAAAAAAAGTCAGAGCTACCATGTCCTACAATAACCAATTGTCGCATAACCAAGCGTAACAGAACTCGACCCAACGAGCCGCATCCACTATTGCTGGACTCCCCAGGGCCAAGTGGAGCATAGTAGATCACAGTTAGGCGCAGAAATCGGCCGAGAAACAGTGAATAGTGCGAAAGTCAAGGTTATTCTAACCGAACCTAGCCAAACGCCACGTAATTTAGCGTCACATTACCACAACTAACGTGCCGAGACCGCTATTGCTGGCTTCCCTAGAGACAAGCAGAAAACATTGGGCGCAGTAGGGTGCCGAAATCCACCGAATAGCAGTGTATAGCACAGAAGTCAAAGCTACCCTGTCCTAAAATAACTAGTCGTAACAAAACCAAACGGATTCTAACTCAACCTAACGAACCGCGACCACTATTACTGGCTTCCGCAGGGCCAAGCAGAATATAGTAGAGCACAGTATAACGCAGGAATCCATCGATCTAGAGTGTATAGCGCGGAAGTGAAATTGATCCTAGCCGAAATTAGCCTAACATAGCCAAACCAAGCGTAACCTAACTCAACCTAACGTACCGCGAACACTATTGCTGGCCTTGCCATGGTCAAGCAGAGGACAGTAGAGCACATCAGAGCGCAGAGATCCAACGAAGAACAGTTCATACCACGGAAGCAGGCATATCCTGACCGAGGAATTCCTAACCTAACATAACCAAACGCAACGGGACTGAACCTAACGTGCCGAGACCAATATTTTCGGCCATCCATGAGCCAAGGAGAACATATTAAGGTACAGTATAACGCAGAAATCCAACGAATAGCGGTGAGTAGCACAAAAGCCGTATCTACCCTGTCCTACCATAACCGATCGCCACATAATCATACGTAATATATCTCAACACTGCGTGCTGAGACCGCTGCTTCCGGTTTCCCCAGGGCAGAGCGGAGAACATTAGAGCACAGTAGAGCGCAGAAATCCACCGAAAGCTGTGTATAACACAAAAGTCAAAGCTATATCATCTTACCAAAGCCAATCGTGTCACAGCCAGACGT